CGAGGATGAGTCGACGCGTGAGGCTGGCGGTGTTACCGATATGGCCAAAATTCGGGTCAAGGTAAGTATTGCAATGCGCGTCTCGTTAAGACGATAGGTCCATGTAGGCAAGCATACTCGTGGCATGTCCATCGTTCCTACTCAGAACTACGACGATTTTACCACCTCCCTACGAGACAAGTTTCCCGAGCTCGGCAGTCAGCTGCTGGTGCGATTCAAGGATGAAGACGGAGACATGTTGAGTTTGGTGGACGAAGGGGACTTTGAAGCTGCGGTCGACGTTGCGAGGTAAGCTGTGCTATCCCTCGACTTGATGAAATGTTCTGATCTTCTAGGGTAATGTCTGGAGGCAAGGCCGAAGGAAAGCTAGAGATCTGGGTGGAATAGACGGTGAGACAATAGTTTCCAGCTTTAAGACATGTTGTTTCAGCGGATGCACGGACATCTCAGGACTCGAAAAACTAATCTCAGACTGAACCGATTGTCTCAGTTGACTCGTACTGATTGTCTGGTAATCATTCATGCCCTGTCAAGACTGACTCTCACTTTCCCAACCTTCTATCACTGCTCCTCGACGGCAATCGCGCTGGCCGCAATGTCCTTTCCACCTTCCAAGATCCGACCACCCAGCGTGAGTCGTCTACCAATTCCCAAAGAGCGCTCCACACCTACGAGCTCTCACTCGTCATCGATACCTCGACCGACTTCTTCGGCCTTTCGATCTAGAGCAGGCCAGGCGGTAGTCGTGGCGAGGACGAGCTTCTTGTCTCCCAAGGAGCGATGGACGGATACGCGTAAAAACCAAAGCGTGAGCGTGGCTGCGGAGCATGGACGTCAGAGGTGCTGATTTGAAAAGGGACCGAGGTATCAGTTGAAAGATCCAGGCGTGACACCATCTGGTGGCCAAAGCAAGTCGCGGATGAATGCACCGCGTATCATTCCAAAGCCAATACCTTTGCCAAGACGGGCACAAGAGGGTAGTGGGAAGATCAAGCTGGACACGACAATACCCCCGATCCACAGTGCTACATCTGGCATCACGAAAGGAAAGCCAACTTTGCACTCTCTGGCGCCGGCAAATGTATCTGGATGTGAAAAGGATGTACCAACAAAGCTAAATGAGAAACCAAGCCTCCCTGACTCTCCGTTATCCGATCCTACACCTCGCCAGCAATGCCAACTCGACTATTCCCCCTCAGCCGAATCTACTACTCCATCTCGCCGATCCTCGCACGCGTCCATAGTCTCCTCCTACTCCAGCGCATCTGCTCTTGCCCGGGCGCGCGCCTGCGAACGAGGACCTTACCTTGTGTCAGACGACGATTCTCAGCCTGTAACGCTCGAGTGGGAGCCTGATCCAGAAGGAGAGATAGAAGATGAGGCCGAGAAAGTTTGGCGCCGATTAGAGACCAAGATGGGAAGATCTTTTGGTTCTACCTTGGGGTGTGATCGAGGCAGATGGGTCATGACCGCTCAACCGCGTCATCTTCCCTTTGAGGCTGGGGTGGAACATTCAAAATCAAATTCAAGCTTGAAAATGGAGGGAAATTCGACCTCGATGGCGGAAGTGGAATTGGACGATTCGATAAAGATGGATAGACAGACCAGCGAATTTTCCGTTTCGGCTTACATGGACTTCACGGAAGAGGATGAAGCTATATTCGACATGTCAAAACCGCTCGTTCGATCAGCCAGCAAGACCGCTTCAACCCCGTTCAATACTCCATGTATACATCGAGAGACGATACATCGTTCTGGAAGGGTATCGAGGCGTAAAGCGACAATTGCACTGACAGACAGTTCCACCGGTTCATCTTCCTCGAGCTCGTCGTCGACTGGTTCGATGCCGTCCCTTATGTGCAGATTGGACTCACAAGTTGTTGCAGCGCTCGTCGCACTTGAATCGACCCTTTTCACGCCAGAGTTGGACTATGCGCTTGGACTTGGTGAAAATCTGGATTTTGAGCTCACCCCGATTCCTGCCCCAGCTCAAAACGCCAACGTCGCTGTTGGTGCATACGAGGAAATGACCAGACAATTAGATCTGGGGCTCGGGCTCGGGCTCGATATGGATATCCAGAACAATACCATCTATCACCTCCCTGTCCGCTCGCGTCTCCCTCGACTCACCGGATATGTACGCCCCTGTTCGTCTCGACCGGACGGAGTTGTCAGAATGCCGTCATTAGGGAAACAGGTTCGAGGTGATTCGGACATGTTGCGGATCACAGATCTTGATACAGGTGTGTCTAGAAATGTGCATGTGGCTAGCCTGGATGCAGAGTAGATGGGGGTCGTGAGCACAGTGAGAGGTATATCGATCGAGTGTGCTATATAATCTGGTTGCTCAGTTGCGTAGCATTGGTCAACAACATGCATGATTCGATGCGTTCACCGAAGAATTAAAGTGACTCCCTTTTTCCCTCTTCCTTCCTTGATATCGTCCAGTCCCAGAACCCTTTCCAGCTGGCTCCACGACATACCAAAGGTCACCTGAATCTCATCTGCATGATGCTTGCCATTGAGCATCCTGAGTAATTCCTCTTCGATTGCTTTGGTCTGTTCTTCCCGCATCTTCAAAGCACCAGATCGTAATGTCGCGCCTGTTTTTTTAGACGAATTCGACTGATGGGTGTTATCTGAATACAAGGATCGAGGCATTGCTGTGAAATGTAGAGGACGTCGTGATGGTGATTTTGAAGCAGCGCTTGGTGGTGTACGATTTGGTATTGAGGAAGGAGAAACACCTAGGGAGGCATTGGAAGACATTGAACGTAGAGTGAAATTTGATTCGGCAGGTATAGAACGTGTAAAACCTGAATCTCCTCCTGCTGCTTTTGTGGATAAAGTAGCGCCAGAACCTATTCTTGTTGATTTGTCAAATCCGACACGTCGTTTCGTATGTTCAGGATGATCGATAAGTGGTGAACCTTTTTCAAGCATGATAGGCCAACGATGTACGCGTCTTAAGAATCCTTTGATGATTCCAAAAGAAACAAATCGACGAGGATCAACACCGAGTGATAAGACATCCTCAGACTCTATCCATGATGCTACTGTAACTCCTGGTAAGAGTTTCGAGTAGAGTCGAAGGAGGATTGGCCAAGAAGGTGTTGTTCCGCCTCGAGTCACGTATGCCCCGCATTCATTGATTATCGTTTCGTCCGCTGCCAATCGAGTGATGTTCGGTTTCAGAGTGTACATGTTTGAATATTGGAAGATATCAATCTAGAGTATATAAGCTCAATCGCGATATATATGCGTATATACTTTGACTCACCATCATGACCACTTGGTAATACAACATATGTCGGATGGTCTCTCTCGTCAAAGCAGGATCGGCATCGGCCAGCTGTGCGATACGACGAACGTGGTGAACTCCATTGATATGCTCTGCAACACGAGCAGCTGTGATGTCCCAATTATCATCTTTGAGCGCATTGAGATCCACAAGGGCGATAGGGACATGCCAATCTTCGCATTCTGGAGGGTTGGCTAGAAAAGTCAAGAGTTAGCAGATGCAATGGATAAGGGGTCTTAGTCAGTGGGTCCAGGGTCCAAGATTTAAGGGGTAAGGGGCTTGGGTGAGGTTCAACTCACGAAAGAACGGAAAGAGCTTTAGTTCGAGAGAATTGAAACCGTCAAGTGGGATGCTGGTTTCCGAGTACGAGTTGAGATCTTCGAATAATTGTTCTAGAACTGCAGGAAGAGGTGTATGGTCTGGATTTGGCGATGAGAGGTATGCCGAGTCAAGCTGACAAGTCAGAGTTGAGCTTAAAGCAAAGGTAGAGTCTTGAGTAGACTCACTTCTGCTGACCTGAGTATTCTAGCACATTTCCTGACTACAGGTTCAAAAGCTTCTAGACTGCTTGAAGCATGAAAGACGAAACACAAGTTCCACATGTATTCGTTTCTCTGATATCTCCCTCCTTCACCAGTCAGGACTGATGGGAAACCCATTATCCTATACTCTACTCTTTCACCATCATCAAACCCAGTCGTAAGTAGTGATACGAGTTTGCCGTGTAGACTCTTCTTGGGTATAACGTAATCTGATATAGGTGAAAAATCAAGGAAAGTCGATAGAGGTGATTCCGCTCTTGAACGATCTCGTGAACGTGATCCAGATCGAGAACGATTCTCGTCAGGAGAAGTAGAAGTTATGAGATTTTCTGGGACTTGGTGGAGAACTGTAGGACCAAGTCTAGGATCAAATGTAGCGTAGAATAGCTAAATGGTCAGTCTTAGAAGGGAGCTCCAACTGCAAACAAAAGACTTACTCCAACTATTTGGGGAAGAAATGATCTAGGTGTCATGAGTATTGAACCGGAAGCGTAAGAGCCTCAAGCGAATACTCACTCATCTGTGGATGACATGCCTAACTTGCCAAAGGACCCCCGGTATGAACGCCAGGTCCAAAGGGTCGTAGTCCTTTCTTACAAGCGGTCAATGCGGATCGTTGATGGCATACCTGCTATCGGAAAGATTGCTAGACTCTCTTAAAACCCACGGACTTCTCACTATGCCTGGACCAGCAAGACTACTTTGAAGTCGCGAATCAGACAAATTCCAAGTACGCTTAAGCGGAATGAACAGGGGCTCGAATGATATCCACGTGGTCTAAATCCTACCAGAATGTTTGCCAGATATCCCTCGGTAATTATTCAACTCAACTCGTGCAGAACCGCCTTGACTTATGTTAGCATGGAGCAGGCGAAACGCGAGACATCGTCATCAATGCATCAGATGCATCGAGGCCGAAGCGATCGTCAACGAGAGATGGCTACCTTGGTGTGATCACGGGCCTTTTCAAAACTACGACGTGTCACCGAATCCCGGTCGCTCTCTCAGCTGAGCCACAGGGTACCTCCCAACGCACTCTGGGGAATGGGTCACTCATCGTAAGACCGCGAAGAAGCCATCTGTGGACTATTTCTATGAAGCTCCCCTTGAGCCACTAACTATATAGAGAAGGGAGCTCACTCCGATCTCTTTAAAGAGGGGCTATGATGTAGGGGTAACATCGAGACTTCGCATTTTCGAACATGTCTCGTCCCCGCGTTCGAGTCGCGGTAGCTCCATTTTTTGTATTGTTTCTGTCACCTTACATTTTTTTTTCGAGAATTCCTCTTTTTTTTACTTGGCCATGCTGCATACATCATTTCAGCTGTTGATACTGCATGTACCATATTCTACCAACAGTAGAATATTCATGATGCGGCTGCATCGTGGGATGACAGGCTCCATTCTACGCTGCGACAAACCGCCAATCCAGAATGTTGATCTTTGCTATCGATTCAATGGTCGGGCAATGAGAGGCTCAACCGGACGAATATGAAGATATGCATGAGATGACGGCCTGGAAAGATCGGTATATTGTAGATACCCGTTTTGCATCTAAACGAGCTGCCATTGAAGTAGGCAACGGGGAATGGATTTCTCGCGCTCTGGCAGAGAATCCTGCCGCATTCAAGTCAGATAGCTCTAACGTCATTTGAGCAGGAGTAGACTAGACAATCCATGACGGGCAAGTGGTGCATCAAGGCTGAAAGCAGATGATATCATTGTATATTGTGTAAGTAAATGTTCTTCGTTACCGATCCACCTAGCGCAAAGCACGATGTAGATCTCCATTACGCTCTAGCTTGCTAACAGAACAGCGCTCGGTGTAAGACCATTCGCTTTGAGCGTCTTTGTCATCTCGTCTCTCGAAAAGGTTTTACTAGGCATATGAGTTTTAAGCAAGCCGATAAAGTCATTGAGGCACGCACCGAGGAAAAGTGGACGCGAACGTGACTGTGTCGACGTTATAAGCGAGACTTTCAGAGGCGATCCACTCGGCAACATCCATGAGTGCTGTACCATATCAGTGACATAGAGAAACAAGTAAATGTCGACTCACTGCCGTCGCTCGGAAAGGTTTTTGTCAAAGGTGGACCTCCAGTGCTTAATCTGACCTGGAAGATGTCAGAGACGCAAAGTCAAAGAGGAAGATCTCTCACCTGTAATCTCGTCTCCGGATTCTCTGAGCTCTTCACTGCAGCACTAGGCTTTGCCAGTGGTGTGGACGCTGCGGCCGGTGGAGCCGCTTGTCCGTCTCTCGCTGCCTTTTCTCGCGCTACCCTCTCAGCCCTCTCCTTTTTATCTAACTACGGGGAAATCAGTGAGGAATTCTACCATCGAAACAGGACACGTCACCTCTATCTGCGCCTTGATCGCCGCTTTTGCCTTTGCATCTTCCAATTTTTCTGCGGGACATGAGTTTCTTTCGTAGCACGGCTCTCGGGACACACCTCGTTTCTTCCTCTCTGCCTCCTTTTGTACCTCCTTCAGCTCCAAATCCTCTTTGGCTTTCCCGATATCCTGACCGGCTTTCCGCCTCAAAGCCTACATTCTCAGCCAATTTCCAGAATAGATGTCCGACATACCTCGTTCGCCTTGTTTGCGACCGTCTCCTCTTTTGCCTGATTCGCTCTCTTCTCCGCCAACTTCTGTCTGAGCTCAGCGAGCTTTGCCTTCTTCTCCTCCTCTGTCAATGGTTTGATCTCCTCGGTTGACTCTTCAAACTCCTGGTGACCCGACTTCTCGGCGTGAAAAGAAGCCGTGGCATTGGAACGGAATACTTTGCCGCATTCGCTGCACTTGATTGACTATAGGATCAGCCAACCATCATCAATGACCGCTCACCTTTGCAACGAGATCATCGTCCTTGATCGATCCGCCCTTTGACTTGATATGCGCTGCCAGAGCATCGGTATCTTCTTCGTCAAAGTCTTCGTTTGCCGAAGAAGAGGATGCTGCCTGTTGATCGGCCGCAGGAATAGGATTGTCGGAATTGGCCAGGAGGTGGTCCATTGCAGGCTGACGTGGATGAGCTACATGACACAAGTCCCTCAACACCTTACCTGGAGACCAGCATTACTAGTAGCTTTCAGTGCCCCTGGTCATGCATTAGTACGTGCATTGCGCAGGCAGAAGCTCAGAGTGAGTCCGTCTCGACTACTCACAGTCAATGCGCGCCGGTTCAAAGCCCATGGCTACAAGCTGCGCGCGATCGGACGACATGTTGAAGGACGAAACGCTAAACTGGGAATAATAGGATTATCGACTCTTAGCTGCTCAGATGGGCTCTACAACGACTGCTTCGCTCAAAACCAATGCCAACAAAGAGAAGAAACAGAGGCTACTTGCGCAAAGGCTCGCTCAGCGTCAACTTGACATCCGGAGCCCCGGTCGAGAATTTAACGTTGTTCAACGAGAAAGGAACCGTGTCTCTAGCATCCATGTACAATATACCAGCCTTAAATACATGGCAGCCACTCTTTCGAAGACTCATTAGCCCTCAGATACATAGCTCCTGCGCTATTCGACGCCTGTTGATGAGCACGAGTTCTCCCGCGACACCCTCAGACGCCGCGGTCTCTGTCGCCAAGGTTGATGTCGCGGTACTTGTGCGTTCACGCATATTCAAACTTGTCAAATGCTGAGCATGCATTGGGAGCAGAGCATGTCGAGTAATGTGCAAGCTGCTCAACCAAACAAAAGCAAGCAGTCACCTTTGGTCATGCAAATCATCCTGCGCCGAGACCTTGAAACGGTATGCTCCAACTAGGGACATGGCTGACCCTCTATAGGTGCATGATTGGCCGATTGGACCACTTCTAGCGCAATCCGCTCATGCAGCTACAGCAGTGCTGCACCTGCACGCACAGGATCCAAACCGTCATCGAGTATCTTGCAGATTGGCAAAATATGCGAAAGGCAGTTTTGGAAGTGAATTTATAGTCTCTTCTTCTCCTTCATCTGGTGAGCTCATCGATCTTGTAGCTTCCGGACGAAGGGGCACTTAGGAGCCTGGCCGAGAGGTTGAAGCAGGAGCAAGTAGGATATCACATGTGGATAGAACAGCCGTGAGTGTAGCTGTAGGAGGCATGAGGATCTAGTCAATGCTGACTTCTGGCCAGAGAGGATATACCGACTGCGATAGCGCTAGTTCCAAATCGACGGCCGAAGGCGCTGAAAAAGCTACTTGATCAAGCAGGATGCACGTTGTGGAAATGAGAATACTCAAGACGCGATTCACACCTCGAGAAACAGATGTAGCCTACACAAATCACGGAGACTGGCCCGCTGGACTATTGAACTAGGTCCTCACCTTTATAGCCAAACGTGAAGGAAGTTGGGGTGTTTGGTGGCTGGGGTAGGAAGGGGAATCTAGGTGGACATGGCCTGTGGAACGTCAAGTTGGAGTGGGCTGAAGAGCGTCTCAGGCGGGAGATGCCCCGAAATGAGAAAGTAGACAGACGATATCTGAGAGCATCAAATCCCTAATCCCCGCGTGAACCTTATGAGCATGGTAGTTCGAGGGGAACAATCTGCAGCAAAGACAGCTGCTGGGAGCAAAGACAGTCGGGTGCAACGATAGGCCTGTGATTTCAAACAGGCCTAATGGCGGAATCAAAAACACGCGTCGGACCAAACAGTGTTTGAATTTGGCCTCGCGTCGTAAACTCGTCAAGAAATCCTCAAAGCATCAACGATCACCTTGTGCGGCTTCGGGAGAGCCCATGGCTCTGCAGGAGCTCTAGATCGCCTCCAACCAAACCCATCTACAGGTGATAGGGATGTATCGACCCCGACCCGACTCCCGTACGTCGACAATCCCATCATCACCTCCTTCCATCTGGTCAATGCAAGCGCCAGGGTCATCTCGTACGAGCTGGTCCGACGATGCACCGACATCGCATCCCAGGTCAGAGACGAGCGAGGGGGTGACTGTTATTGGTGGACGTGGGGACCAAGAGGCGTTGTTGATCGACTTTGGGTCTGACGGAGATGGGGAAAGAGTGCGAGAGGAGATGAAGCCTGGGGATAAGCTCAGGATCTTATTACGGCAGATGGAAACTGAAGTGCGGGATACCACGCCAGCTAAACCCGAGGAGATGAGACCAGCTTGGAAGGAGAGGAGAGCAAGAGCGATTTCACCTTTGGATGAGAAGGAGGACAGTCCTCCAACACCGCCAATGAGGATACATAATCCATATCTGAACCGAAAAGCTCCGGCAGAAAGTGGGTCAACGCTGTGATAGAGCTGACAACAGGAACATCTACACCTCCGCCACGGATCCCGTCCCGTGCTGCTGCTTTAAGAGCGAGTAAGTCATGAGCCAGGCAGCGCTGATTCTAGGTACATCTCGCTCCCCAGCTCAACCTCAACCCGACCCAACACCGCTCGAACAATTCATCTCTCACAGCTCGCCTCGGATATCTGACCCATCCTCGAGCAGATCCAGCACACAATCTCGCAAAGGAAAGGAGCGGGCGTCACCCGAGCACGCACCTCGTAGGCCACCACGAACACCTCGAAGATGGAGTGTGGAAATTGCGCCGGAGGACTCCGCATTGTTTGCTCAAGAAGCTGAGGGCTTGGAGGTCCGCGGTGAGGTCGAGCTAGACCTTGAATTGAGCGAGGATGCTCCTTGGGGTGACACAGACGAGAGTGCAGAGGAAGTGCCCAGCAACTCGCTACGGCATGAAGCGAGACTCGCACGGATATCATCACAACCCAAGCCTTCTCGACCTGCAGATACGTCAATACCGGAGCTTCCCGAGCCAGAGGAAGTCTCCGCGGATGACGAGTCTGAGATCAACACGCTTTCTTCGCGACGAGCCGCTCTCTTTCGGTCCTCCTCTAAATCCGCGTCACATTCACCGGGCTCGAAGACTGCTCGAAACTCGTTGTCAGCTTCGATCTCGCAACTACGCCAGTCTGACGTGACATTTGCCCAAGATCCAGTACGAGTTGGAGTGGCCTTACTGGACAGCTCGCGAGCCAACATCAATGTTGCCACACCTCCAAAGCATTCCATATCCCGATCAACGGACCAACTGACCACTCCTCATCCTCCAGGATGGAGAGCGTTCACACCTGCCAGATCCAAGGGTGCTGTCCGGTTCTCACCAGCTCGCGAAGCTGACACCAGCATACACCGTATCAAGGTATCGCCAAGAAAATCGCCAGCTCGTGTGGCAGCAACCGATGCTGATACGTCGTTCACAGCTCGATTGTCTCGGTCTATCA